CTGGTCGCTGAGGAAATACATCAACTTCACGCTGTGGATCGCCGGATCGAGTCCAGCCCGGGGGCGTCGCATGTGGTTGCCATCGTCGAATCCGCCGGCCGCGACGTTCTCAAGCCCGCCGCCTCTGCTCACTCTAGGCCTCTGGCCTCCGCTCACTCTAGCCCGCCGTGTGTGACGCTGTGTTTTGTTGTGAAAGCGAAACTACTTTGTGCCGGCTGTTCTGACTCAAAGACTGCAAGTAAGTTTTTTTCATAAACACATTTCATTACACCAAATACACAAAATAATGTTCTTTTTAGCAACATCATATGACCCCTTTAAAGGGATAGTTCACCAAAAACTGAAAATTCAGTCATCATTTACTCACCCTCTAGTGGTTACAAACCTTTAAGAGTTTCTTTCTTCTGTTAAACACAGAAGACACATTTTGCTGGTAGCCATTGACTTCCATATTATGGGAAAAACAAGTATGGAAGTCTATGGCTACCGGCAACTGTTTTGTTACCAACATTCTTCAAAATGTCTTCAAAATATTCACATTTTTATTCTTGGGTGAACTATCCCTTTAACAACTGTTAAGAAAGTAAACATGGTCAATTTTAATCTAATGTTGTCTTTTTGACTTTCAGCATAGCACAACAAGAACATCTTAAGACAATTTAATAACCACATATAATTGTACATAAATATACAAAATCATTGATGGTGTCCATGTTATGCTCACAAATGACATGCATATGTATTGAATGTATATAAATTATACATTAAATGTAACATATAAATTATGTTGATATATTGTTTGGGATTTTCACAAACGGAAATATGTAGTCAGGTTTTTGCAATATCACTATTATTTGTCATTGTAAACCTGGGTGTAAATGCTTAAAAATGTATTTATTCTCTTGATAAAATAAAATAAGCCATACATTTGTTTGCATAAGTTTCCTGATTCCATACACCGTCCACCGGCTGTTCAAAGGCTGAACTGTTCATTTTCCAGCAGTGGATCTGTATGCTCATCTGATTTCTAAGAAAAACGGAGTCAGATTTAACTATATTATATTAACTACATAATAAACATTACAAGGTTTCTGCATGTTTAATGTAGGTAAATTTTTTTAAGACCACTTTTAAAGAAAAATGAAGGAATACACTTTAGGGAACACAATAGTTCAATATGTTCTCTAAATGTAAATGTCCAGGGAGAACAGAATGAGTTGTATTAGCAACACAAAGTTTGAAATTGAAAATACAAGTTCCAACAGATCTATCAGTACTTTTTCTTTTAATTGACCAAAAAATAGCTTAGCTATAAAACGAAATGATCACACAGCAAAAAAAGTAATGTTCTTCATCTGTATTTTTGTCCTGTTTTGCAGTGCAAATATCTGAAGATTCATGAATCAAGGTACATTTACACATAAGATAAGAAATCTTATTTTCTGAGAAATTCTGCCAATCTGCTCAAAACATTGAAATTAATTCAAAGCAAAAATACGTTTTTATATTTTAAAACACATTTGATCTTGTTTAAGCATACACTCAATTGTATTCAATTTCTTAGAAAGTTTTATGTTGCATCTCAAATGCATATTGATTTACGAATGTTTATACATTTGTACTGGAAAACAAAAAAATACTGAGGAATATATTCATTAGTAGTAATGCATTCAACATTTCATGCCATGGCTTTTTGAATTTAAGACTTTCTTCCCTGATTTAAGACCAGTGTTGGGCAGTAACTAGTTACTAGTAACTTAGATACTGTAATATTACTTTTTGCAGTAACTAGTAGTGTAACTAATTACTAATAAGATTTCAGTACTAATATTACAGTTACCATCCATAAAACAGCCTAGCTACTTAGTCAACCCCGCTGATTTAAAATCCAACAATCAAATAATTCCTAGATTTATTTTCATAATTTTCCCGACTTGCACATGCATGTGATGTCCCCAGTGCTTATATGGAAAATATATCCCCCATATGGAAAAGCTTACATTCAGCAGATAGAAATATTGCATTATATTGATTTTGTCAGGAAAAAAGATGATCTGAACACTGTTGTGTAAGGTGTGGCTTTACTTTACTCTGGCATTACATCCCACCCACATCCCTCTGATCAGCATGTGGTACATTATATAATTAAAAATCTTTTTGGAATCTTTTTGGCAGTTTCTTACAAACTTATGTGATTTGATAAAATACATAATGAAAGCTTCAAGCTACACATGACAGTTAATGAGTTTAATACAACACTTCTACTTGAATGTCACTATCAATGACTATTGAGTGTTTGTAATAACTTCTGCCTGCGATCCAATGTCTAGTAGTGTAACTAATTACTGTTGCCAGAAAGTAATAAGTAACAATATTACTTTTGAAAGGAGTAACTAGTAATGAGTAATATATTACATTCCTTGAGTAACTAGCCCAACACTGTTTAAGACCTTTTTAGGACTTAATTTGTAGAATTTGGTGAATTAAGACTTGCTTTTTAAGACTCGCAGAAACCCTGTATATTATCACTGCATTCCTAAAACTATATTCTAGAGCTTGAATGTATGAATGTTGTACCTGCATTACGCTGATGTAGTCCTGTCTGTAGAGGGTGCTGTAGGACTTAATACCTTTCCAAATCAGAAAGAGCATGTATATGGCTGCTAACATGCACTGGAGGATGGACACGAAACCACTGCCCTTCAGCACATACACACCAATGCGCTGCGAGAGAGACCATGATCTCATTTCACTGGTAAATTCTAGTGGTTTATTGAGTTTATTGAGTGTCTCTGTACACGCACCTGCTGAGGGGTGGCCTTTTCCATTAGTGAGGATTTAATAAAGAAGGTGACAAAAGAACAAACTGCAAACAGTAAGCTGAAGATATTCAGGCCCATCAGAGTCATGACCTACAACAGAAGAGATCACACTTTACTCAAACAAGCACGCAGGAAGCCTATTAACATGATATATTTGGACACAAATATCTGAATATCACCGCATTAGACAACAAAATATCAAACCAAGTGACATTCATTTCAAAGTAAGAGAGCACAAACACATTTTTCAAGCTAAGTATTTCACAGAAAGATGTTTATGGAGTTAAGAACGATACTGTTCAAAAAGAAGACAAAAGGAAAATCATGGATTTAAAAAAGATATAAAATAAGCTTACTTTGAATTTTTTGGGTTTCCTTTGGACATCAATTGCAAGTGACCCCGTGGCTAGAAACTGAGACATAAACAGGTATATAACACAGAAAACAACTAATTAGTAACTGTACTAATTCTGATTTATTGACTGTCAAATTTGGGAACCAGGAATGTTAACTGGAGCACTTACAAAAAGGCTACACCATATTGGAGCTGTCATAGACGCAGAACAGCTGAAAGTCAAACAAGTATAGGAGAAAGTGGAAAGAATACAGAAGGCAGCACTGAAAATCTGAATGACCTGAAAGAGAAAGAGGAATTAGGCTACAGTATATACTGCCTACTATTGGTCAAATAAAATTGTATGTGAAGCAGTAAGCCGTATGCAATAATAAATGTTTCAAATATTAGTATGCCATGCTGCCATAATGTATGTTTAATACAGCAAGTGGCATTCATTTTGAAAAGAATTTTTTTTTTTCATCTTTGATCCAGTTTGTGTCAACTTTTGGCAGTCCGGTCAAACGATAAGTCAAAAAAAGATGGTAAATATCACTGATGATACTGCTATCATTTGTCAAACTCTGTTAATCATTTGAGTAAGACATTATTTGAAAATTTTAATTTCTTTAAACTTTTAATATTAAAAGTTTTTTTAATTTTTATTAGTTTTTTAATGTCTATCATGTTTTTCTTAAGTTTATTAGTTTGAGTTATTTTAGTATTTCATGTTAAACTAAACAAAAATGAGAAATGTCGCCCTGGTAACTAGCTGAAATAGAATAATTTTAAGTTTTTATTTGATTTCAATTAACATTTACTTTCTTTCAAGTAACAGGAATGTTTTCTATGGTTTTAGATTTAGTTAACAAACCCAAAACTGAAGGTGAAGCGAACCTGTGAGCATATGTATTCATTAAATCTGAACTTTATTGGGATTGTTGGGTGTCTATGACAGTTAAGCCAGATTTTGTTACCCCAGACAGGAGAAGGCGGGTGTTGACCACTGTCCCAAACCAGCGGACCAGTCTGTCTTCCATCAGCTCTCCAGCTGTGGAGTCGTCAGCTGGAACAGGGCAGGGCAAAGGGCGTGCCTTAAAAAACACCTGATGCAGCCCCTCCTGAAACATGTTCTGAGTCATCTGGGACAAAAGAAGTGACATCATGAGTAACCACAACAACAAATGGACTTGATTTGGATTTTTTGGTTGCGTAGTTCATCTAATTGGTTAACATACATATACCGTAGCATTTACAGTCATGCTTGATCACTGACAATTTAATACAAGTCTATAGTGACTATTATGGATTTACGAGTGAAGTAATGTATAACTTACCTCTGAATTCCCAGGCATTATATGAGACGCCTTTCTAAATTAGTGCAAAACAAGTCACCAAGCATTCAAATATATGGATTAACTTTAAGACGAACCTCCGTCTTCGTGAAATACAGGGTCAAAGTTCTTTCTCAAGGTCTTGCTCTAAAAGCCCGCCCAATAGGGAGGCATCCTGATGTGTGATTTGTCAGGATCTGATCAAAGGTTGTTTAGAGTCATAGTTTCATATTGGCTGATATGAATCCTATCGTTTAAAGTAAGCTTTATAAATTCTAATTTTTAATAATTAAAAGAAAAAAAACTTTAAAATAGCATAAAAAAAATATATATATATATATATATATATATTGCTAAAGCAGTGTTTATTAATAATTGAATAAGCATTATGCATTTTATACAATAAAAAAGCAAATACAACAATAATGAGATAAAGTACTGTATTAAACGAAAGTAAAATCTTCAATAAGCAACTTGCGTAAACTCATGCAGAACAAAAAATAAATTGCAGGTGCTTGTCTTACATTGTCAATTCAACAGCTTCAGTTGCATAATGCAAATATAAAATGTGTAAAAAAAACAAATATACCACCATATACTGTGGCAGTGAGTTTGTTTCTTCATCAGAACAGATCTGGAGCAATTTAGCATTACATCACTTGCTCCTTAGTAGTGAATGGGTGCCGTCAGAAAGAGAGTCAAAACAGCTGAATACAAACATCACAATAATCCACAAGTAATCCACACGACTTCAGTTTATCAATTATCATCTTGTGAAGCAAAAAGTCATGTGGATTACATGAGGACTATTGTGATGTTTTTATCAGCTGTTTGGACTCTCATTCTGTCGGCACCCATTCACTGCAGAGGATCCACTGGTGTGAGTAAGTAATGGAATGCTAAATTTCTCCAAATCTCTTCTGATGAAGGAACAACTCATCTACAGCTCAGATGCCCTGAAGGTGAGTCAATTTTCAGCACATTTTCATTTTTGGGAGAACTATATTCCTTTAATGACTTACACCATATTTGGTAACACATTTCACATCACACTTTTATATACATACTCCTATATAGTGATCAGAGCACATATCACTCTTCTTCTCCTTCAGCAAACATATCAGACTCCTCCAGTCTTCTGAACTGAGGTCCCCAGTTCTGCAGATGCTGGAAGTCCTGATCTCCATCACCGATGGACGACTGCAGAGAGCTGAGAGATCCAGATATAGACCCCTCACCCTCATGAGCAAACACCAGCATGGAGTCATACGGTGCCACAAAGTGGTCATCATCTGCTGTGCACAAATTCTACAGAAACACAGTCTAGTATTTAACACATGCATGTAACTTTTGATGGTGGTGATTTTGTTGTGGATGCTTTTCAGGATTTTTTGTTGATCCAAACCCAGGGCAAATATGCATGTTGAACTTTCAGAAATCATGTTGACTCTTATGCACTGTTATACACATAAACACTCTTACTATACCTCATAAATGAAGCTTTCGATATCTTCATTCTCGTCGGGATGTTGCCGATAGAAGACCGTTGGTGAAGCCATTGGGGCAATATCAGTAGAGAAAACCTGTAGTCTGCTGCACAATAGGACCATATCAAAATCCTGTAACATGCATGTACATACACAACATAAACACTGATAAGACTTGACAAAAGTAAAGTTAATTGAGCATGATATGTGGAAGAGCTTGTGCACCTGGTCCTGTTCGCCTCCTCCTTCCTCATTTTAACATAAAATATTATCCCTGTCTTCTTCTGTATGGTTGAACTGTTCCCACTGAACTTTTCTCCCACACCTCCTCTTCAGGAGAAGAAGCAACAGTAACAGCACTATAGAAAAAAAGAAAACATTTTTTGAACATCACTGTTATTAGTAGTGACTTTAAAGGCCAGCTTCATTATAATCATGAAAACACACACACATACAGTATATGTATTTATAGATTAATACTTTTTTGAAATCAGAAATTAATACTATTTCACAAGGAGGCATTAAATTGATCAGAAGTGACAGAAATCTTTTGTAACTGTGAAAGTCTAGACTATTTCAAATAAATGCCGCTCTTTTGAACTTTCTATTTTTATCAAAGAATCCTGATTTTTTTTTTTTTATCAAATTCAGCTTTGCACATTTTAAAATTGATTAAAACAGTAATACATTAAAATACTATTTTGGTAAATTACAAACCTTTGGTGAACATAACATTTTCTTTCAAAAATAAAAAAATAAATCACTCACACACAAAATTATTATAATATATATATATATATATATATATTATAAAATAATATTTATAAACATATATTCACATTTAGACACTCATAATGATCGGTTGTTTGCTTACCAAGAAAGCATAAGATGGCCGCTAGCACATAGATGAACAGAGTGACGTCAGCAGCAGGTAACGTCATCACCCTTACAGTCACACACCTCCACTCTTATAGAACTGTGCTGATATAACCTCTTGGAGTTGTACATATGCAATACCAGGCTGTATTCGCCAAGAGCCAGACGTCTGAGCGGCTTCAGCAACACCACACTGCCTGAGAAACGAGGGGAGAGCAGAAGTGTGAGATATCCAATATATTTACAACAGATTAACAAAACTTAATGTGAGCTAAACCAGTCCTACTGCTGGAGTTGCTGATGATAGTCCAGTTGCTTTGATATTCTGTATTTAGCTCTATAATGAAGGGTGGGCCGTTCCCTGGGCCGTCTGGATCTGTGATGGTCAGACGGACGGGCTTCGGTTCAATGAGACACATCGGGACTCTGCGCTCCTCCAGCACTGGAGCGTTGTCATTAACGTCCAACAGCTTAATCACTAAATGTGCCTGTTCCTGTGGCGGGCTCGTCATCTACAGAAACAAATAAACAAAGCAATCCACACAACCTGTCTAAAGCCAACATCAGATGTGTTTTGAGTAGGGTTGCAAAAAGGTGGAAAATTTCCAGTAAATTTCAGAAATGTTGTCAGGACCCGGAGCTTTGCGTGCATTGATCCTGCTGAGGGATCTCCTCACGCTGTCCGGGGACAGCGTCATCACCTGGTCGCCGGGAGGAGGTGGAGTCTTCTGTGCAGTGGTGCTGTTTTGTGCCTCAAAGCGAGCGAAGAAGACGTTCAGCTCGTTCAGCAGGGAGATGGTGCTGAAAGGGTCTAAGTCCACGTGTGTTGGGGTCTAAGTCCACGTGTGTTGTATATTCAGTTTGATATATGAATGTATATTCACTTTTGATGTCATGATGATTCCCTCCATCCCGCTGGGGCCGGTGCTGATGTTAAAGAACCCTTTCTCATTGCCCTGGATGATGGTGAACTTTGCCACTGAGTTTGCAGTTAAAGGCTCATCTCTATCTGTGACACCCAACCTTGCAACAATTTCCTCAGCCTGATTTTCTTGTACTGTACCTGCATACTGCCAAAACACACACAAACAGTCCGTTTCAGAGCTACTCAACATCAGATGTGTCTGGAAAATTTAGCCTAAATCCAAAAGTGAACTTACCTTTCTTTGGCTGAACTTAGGGGCATGATCATTGCTATCAGTAATTTTGATGATGAACATACAGGTGGAAGAAAGACCGTGACCATCCATATCTGCTGCTTCCACAGCCAGCTCATACACAATTTGATCCTGTTATCACAGAGATGGCAAAAAAGACAGCCATGTTCAGATGATGGTTCTGAAATAATATCAGCATTCAAAAGTTTGAGGTCAATATGTTTATTTACATTTTTTTTTTTAAGTTTAAATGAATCATTTTGCTAAATTTACCAAAATGTACTAAATGTTACTCTTTTGTACTTTCTATTCATCGAAGAATGCTGAAAAATGCATAACGGTTTCCACAAAAATATTAAGCAGTAAACTTTATTTTATTACTAGTGTCTGGACACACAGCAGGAGAAGGGCCGAGCTGTTCAAAATCTTAATGCGCCTTTAAATTACATTTGTCTCATTAACGTACATTTATGTCCTTTGCTGGAAGAGTGTGTATAGACATTTTTTCAATAACTTGTCTTTCTTTGGACTGGCTAGTTTATGCTTCACATACAGAAATATAATATAGATGGCCCTTACTCTTTCCTTTTTTTTGTTTTTACAGCAAAATTAATCGACAGCCATTTTTAAAGTGAACTTGGTGATTAGATTTTGGACTGTTGCCTTGAACGTGAGAACAGGACGGCGCGGCACTTCTCATTCGGTGTGTATCACAGCCTATTTGAAGTAAATGGTTTACCATCAGGTTTAGATTTCCTGAACAACTTGATAAAAGTTGAGTCACTGTGTAAGTTAACGTTAGACCTTTTGCTCAGTTAATCAGATAAGAGAGACAAGATCATTCCAAATTTAGCCTAATATACACATGTTAGTAATGCATGCTGTGAAAGTAATACATGAAGTGCAGTCACAGTGTCGTATGTTACAGTACAGGAAAATTTAGCTAATGTGGAGTAATGTGAAGTAAAATAGTCCACATCTGACACATTGAATTAGTGGTTATGTGAAATATCATTTCTACCTTTAATCAGCACAGGCCTGGTTTCAGAATCAAATCAGTGCTTCTGAAATTAGTAAGGCACGCACATCTATTTCGACATATATCTATTGCTGTGGTTATCATTACTGTCAATCATTACAACTTTGAGAGCAAACCCCACATTTATATGCAGGTGTCTTTGCAGTGTGGCCACTGGTCCACTTAGCAGCATGAAAAAAGTTTTTATTCAAATTCTGAATGTATTATATGTAGCGCAAAGAGCACTCCCTTTATAATTGCTGAAAATCTGTCACTCAGTTCACTGCAATC